GAAAAAGAGGAAAAAAAGATTTTTTTTTGTTCAAATATATATCTATATTAGTATATAAATATATATGTATATATATTAGTATATAATATATATCTATATATATTATCAGAAAAAGAAAATAGAAAAAAAAATTCGAAGAGAGAGAGAGAGGGGGGGATCAGCATCACTCAATATAGAAAAGGAAAAAAAAATAAAAGAACAAATAAAATCAGACTGAAAGGGAGAGAGAGATAGAGAGAGTGACTGAGAGAGAGAGATCGGAGAAGAAGTACGAAGAAGTAGAAGATCGAAGAACGAAGAAGAGCAGCGTACCTTAACGAGTGACGACGAGACGAGCTACGACGAGCGACGACCGACGAGAACCGTCGACAAGTGACGAGCGACAACGATTGACGAGCTACGGATGACGAGTGAAGAGCTATGAGTTACGAGCTACGACGAGCGACCACTGAAAAGTGGCCAAGTCCTCTCTTTCTCTCCCTTTCTCTTCTATTCTAATCGAATGAGGCAGACATTGCTCTATTTTTGTTTTTTTACAAATCGACCCCAAAAAAAGTTTTGTAAATTATGAAATTACCTTTGAACGTGTCCCAAAGTGTCCAAACGTGTCCAGAACGTGTCCGGATGTAAAGAAATTAAAAAAAGGGGACACTCTCTGCTACGTGTCGGACACGTATCCACTGCGTGTCCGTGTCCGACACGTGTCCGAAACTGGTACGGAGGCCTCGGAGAGGTGTCCGTGCTTCATAGCCTGACACCCATACCCAACTTCCAAGTCCATGTAACATGTAGAAGACCATCAAGTATATCAAGTAGAGGGGAATAAATGAAGGACTGAATGTGCTGGTATGACATGTGATCAAAGTGTATCATATAAAAGTGGAGACTCTTTTAAAATAGAAGAGAGTAACTAAGTAGAGAATGTTAAGACAGATGTGTAAATGAGACAAGAATGTAAAGCACCAACCAATGACAAGGAACTAGTCACATAAAAAGTGAAAGTAATCCACATCACCAACAGGGAACGTGGTCATTCAACACAGTCTCGACAAAAACAAGGCTAAGAAGAATGGGTTGGAGTTGTGAGAACAGACCCTATCAGTCGTGATTCGTGAGTAATGTAGAAGCCTTCATTAACAAAAGATTCATTAGCGATATTTTAGTCACACTGTATACAACTCAGTGGCATGAAATTCTGGTTCGAAGGGGCTGGTTAGAGACAAACCAAACAATATTTAAAACCCTAGTGAGCGGTAGCATGTAGGCAACTGTACCCCCACTTTTTGACAGAGTGGCTAATTCTCATGAGTCAAACCGTACCCCCACTTTTTGACGGAGTGGCTAATTCTCATGAGTCAAACCATGCACAAAATTTAGAAGGATAATAAATTGTTTTGTTCAATCGCTTAAACACACGTGCCTATCAATTAGATACATGTGAAACTAGTTATAAGTTTGAACAAAACAATTTAAGATACAATAATAACACAAAACCCATATAAATTTATAGGAATTAGTGTCATATTGCATTTTTTATTATCTTTGAATGATATATTTATTATATATAACATATAATAAATATATAAAATTATATATTTCATGCGTGTCTCCCAGGTGTCGTGTCCAACACTTTTAGAGAATTAACGTGTCGGCGTGTCCGTGTCATATCCGTGTCTTGTCGTATCCGTGTCGTGTCCGTGCTTCTTATACCAGACACCCACTCCCAACTTCCAAGCCCACGTAACATGTAGTAGACCATCAAGGATCAAGCAGAGGGGAAGAAATGAAGGACTGGATGTGCTGGTATGACATGTGATCAAAGTGAGACAAATAAAGAGGAGACTCTTTTAAGATAGAAGAGTAACTAAGTAGAGGATGTTAAGGCAGATGAGTAAATGAGACAAGAATGTAAAGCACCAACCAATGACAAGGAACTAGTCACATAAAAAGTGAAAATAATCCACATCACGAACAGGGAATGTGGTCATTCAACACACAGTCTCTAGAAAAACAAGGCTAAGAAGAATGGGTTGGAGTTGTGAGAACAGACCCTATCAGTCGTGATTCGTGACTAATGTAGAAGCCTTCATTAACAAAATATTCATTAGCGATATTTTAGTCACATTGTATATAACTCAGTGGCATGAAATTCCGGTTCGAAGGGGCTGGTTAGAGACAAACCAAACAACATTTAAAACCCTAGTGAGGAGTAGCAGGTAGGCAACCGTACCCCCATTTTTCGACGAAGTGGCTAATTCTCATTAGTCAAACCATGCACAAAATTTAGAAGGATAATAAATTGTTTTGTTCAATCGCTTAAACACACGTGCCTATCAATTAGATACATGTGAAACTAGTTATAAGTTTGAACAAAACAATTTAAGATACAATAATAAAACAACACTCATATAAATTTATAGGAATTAGTGTTATATTGCATTTTTTCTTATCTTTGAATGATATATTTATATATATCACATATAATAAATATATAAAATCATATATTTCATGTGTGTCTCCCAGGTGTCGTGTCCGACATTTTTTGAGAATTAACGTGTCGGCATGTCCGTGTCGTGTCGTGTGTCCGTGTCCGTGCTGCTTATACCTGACACCCATACCCAACTTCCAAGTCCACGTAACATGTAGTAGACCATGAAGGATCAAGCAGAGGGAAAGAAATGAAGGACTGAATGTGCTGGTATGACATGTGATCAAAGTGAGACAAATAAGGAGGAGACACTTTTAAGATAGAAGAGTAACTAAGTAGAGGATGTTAAGCCAGATGAGTAAATGAGACAAGAATGTAACGCACCAACGAATGACAAGGAACTAGTCACATAAAAAGTGAAAGTAATCCACATCACCAACAGGGAATGTGGTCATTCAACACACAGTCTCTACAAAAACCAGGCTAAGAAGAAAGGGTTGGAGTTGTGAGAACAGACCCTATCAGTCGTGATTCGTGAGTAATGTAGAAGCCTTCATTAACAAAAGATTCATTAGCGATATTTTAGTCACACTGTATACAACTCAGTGGCATGAAATTCTGGTTCGAAGGGGCTGGTTAGAGACAAACCAAACAACATTTAAAACCCTAGTGAGGAGTAGCAGGTAGGCAACCGTACCCCCATTTTTCGACGAAGTGGCTAATTCTCATTAGTCAAACCATGCACAAAATTTAGAAGGATAATAAATTGTTTTGTTCAATCGCTTAAACACACGTGCCTATCAATTAGATACATGTGAAACTAATTATAAGTTTGAACAAAACAATTTAAGATACAATAATAAAACAACACTCATATAAATTTATAGGAATTAGGTCATATTGCATTTTTTATTACTTTGAATGATATATTTATTATATATAACATATATTAAATATATAAAAATTATATATTTCATGCGTGTCTCCCAGGTGTCGTGTCCACACTTTTAGAGAATTAACGTGTCGGCGTGTCCGTGTCGTATCCGTGTCTTGTCGTATCCGTTCGTGTCCGTGCTCTTATACTGACACCCACACCCAACTTCCAAGCCCACGTAACATGTAGTAGACCATCAAGGATCAAGCAGAGGGAAGAAATGAAGGACTGGATGTGCTGGTATGACATTGTGATCAAAGTGAGACAAATAAAGAGGAGACTCTTTTAAGATAGAAGAGTAACTAAGTAGAGGATTTTAAGGCAAATGAGTAAATGAAGACAAGAATGTAAAGCACCAACCAATGACAGGAACTAGTCACATAAAAAGTGAAAATAATCCACATCACAACAGGGAATGTGGTCATTCAAACACACAGTCTCTACAAAAACAAGACTAAGAAGAATGGGTTGGAGTTGTGAGAACAGACCCTATCAGTCGTGATTCGTGAGTAATGTAGAAGCCTTCATTAACAAAATATTCATTAGCGATATTTTAGTCACATTGTAACAACTCAGTGGCATGAAATTCCGGTTCGAAGGGGCTGGTTAGAGACAAACCAAAACACATTTAAAACCCTAGTGAGGAGTAGCAGGTAGCAACCGTACCCCCATTTTTTGACGAAGTGGCTAATTCTCATGAGTCAAACCATGCACAAAATTTAGAAGCATAATAAATTGTTTTGTTCAATCGCTTAAAACACACGTGCCTATCAAATTGATACATGTGAAACTAGTTATAAGTTTGAACAAAACAATTTAAGATACAATAATAACACAAAACCCATATAAATTTATAGGAATTAGTGTTATATTGCATTTTTTCTTATCTTTGAATGATATATTTATATATATAACATATAATAAATATATAAAATTATATATTTCATGCGTGTCTCCTAGGTGTCGTGTCCTACATTTTTTGAGAATTAACGTGTCGGCATGTCCGTGTCGTGTCGTGTGTCCGTGTCCGTGCTTCTTATACCTGACACCCATACCCAACTTCCAAGTCCACGTAACATGTAGTAGACCATGAAGGATCAAGCAGAGGGAAAGAAATGAAGGACTGAATGTGCTGGTATGACATGTGATCAAAGTGAGACAAATAAGAAGGAGACACTTTTAAGATAGAAGAGTAACTAAGTAGAGGATGTTAAGCCAGATGAGTAAATGAGACAAGAATGTAAAGCACCAATGAATGACAAGGAACTAGTCACATAAAAAGTGAAAGTAATCCACATCACCAATAGGGAATGTGGTCATTCAACACACAGTCTCTACAAAAACAAGGCTAAGAAGAAAGGGTTGGAGTTGTGAGAACAGACCCTATCTGTCGTGATTCGTGAGTAATGTAGAAGCCTTCATTAACAAAAGATTCATTAGCGATATTTTAGTCACACTGTATACAACTCAGTGGCATAAAATTCTGGTTCGAATGGGCTGGTTAGAGACAAACCAAACAATGTTTAAAACCCTAGTGAGAGATAGCAGGTAGGCAACTGTACCCCCACTTTTTGACGGAGTGGCTAATTCTCATGAGTGAAACCATGCCATAGTGGTGGGGCAGATGACCATTTGCCATCATATCACGTCAAAACCTCTAACCTAATACATAATAAACATATATAGGAATATAAAAGGGAAAAGAAAAAAAAAAGTATTCCAAAGAGATATTTATCAGTGACATAGCAACACGTGATTCAACTTATGGAAATTGCTCAATAGGGTGCATGAAAAATGAAAACTGAACTACCTGCTCTAAAGTTGCGTAAGCACCGTAATGACTCTCTTTGCGAGACAATGCCTTTAATGCAGCAAAAAAAGATTGGACCTAAAAACCACCAACCAATAGAAGAATAGGGGAAGAAAAGGAATAAAAACCATGTACAAAAAAACTACTACTAAAAAAAAAAACAGCCACCACAAAATTGCTAACAATAAAAGGAGCCGAACAACAAAAGCTAGGCATACTCAATACCTTCTCAACTACAGATGTGAGCTTGAAGGTTAGGTACATCCTAGTCACTAATGATGAAAAGAGGCTCCCATATTCTTTGGTAGAGAAGAAACGATACCAGACTGGTGCGGGCAACAAGGCATGGTATAGGAGAATCAGATACTCCACCATAGTTAGCATCTGACCCTGTAAAATGAACCATAATAATAAATATAAAAAATTTATTATTGGAATAAAATGAACCTAAATAAATGTTAAAACGACCATTGTGCATTATACGAACCTAAATGAATTTTCTAAATGCACGAGTCAACATGAACTCACCTGTCTACGGTAATTTCGCCCTCTGCTGTTTTTGTAGTACGTTAGTAGAATACACTTGAGAACCATTGCTACCTGCCAAACCAAAGTATCTGAAACAAACCAACAATAAGAATTCTCGCAAGGCACTGAGAAATTAAAAAACCATTTTTCAAAGTATATCACAATTAGACAAAGCCCTGGAAAATATGAACAGTACAAAATTAAAAAATCACAACTTTTAACAAGGTGTTTCACACTTAACTAAAGCAGAATACATGCTGAGCTTGAAACATGCTTAACTATATAAGGCCAAAAAGCCTACACTGACAAATAGATTGTTTGATGCCTAATGACCCACAAAATTTAGAAGCAGAATAGATGCTGAGCTTGAAACATGCTTAACTAAGGAAAGAAAAGCGCTCCAAACATTTTCCCTTCATAAAAGACAAAATACGTTGCTGAGATTTAGGAGGAAACACGAGAAAGAAATCACTTTGCAGCAGGTGCTGAACATAACCTGATCTAGAAGAAAGCAACATGCTTTTATACGTATTATTATGAAGTCAATAAGCACTATACCAGCTAAACTTTAACACTTTCTCATGACTTTCCCAACCTCACACAAAACCTTAGAAAAGGGTAAGGATGTAAATATTAAAATAATAATAATAATTACCAAAAAAAATGTATTAAAAAACACTTATTAGAAAAAATTATTCTAATAAATCATAATATACTATGCGTCAATTAAAAACAACAGCCAAAAAAAACAAAAACAGCAGTCAACATAATGACTAAGTGACAAGACACACCATTCACCATAATGATGAAGATAGCATGCCAAAAAGGTGGTATAGCTTTTGGAGGAACCATGATCAATGGATACAGAATATCATCATTCCAATACCACCAGTGCACAACAATCACATGAAGCCCAAACACGAAGGAGATGCCAATGAGAATAGGTATTTTCCTCTCCCCCGGCAGAGAGAAACACTTCATACGCTTAATAATCAAATTTTTAGGATATTATTTATGACAGTAACCCTATGAAGCACGGACACCTCTCCGAGGGCTCCGTACCAGTGTCAGACACGTGTCGGACACGGACACGCGTCGGACACGCAGTGGACACGTGTCCGACACGCAGCAGATAGTGGCCCATTTTTTTCTTTTTTTCTTTGTTTTACATCCGAACACATTCAGGACATGTTATAGGCACGCTCGGGGGTAATTTGACAACGTACTAAATTTTTTTGGGGTCAATTTGTAAATAAGTAAAAACAAACCAAAATTTGCCCTAATCTACTTCGAATAGAAGAGAAACAACAGGGAAAGGGTGAGAAAGAGAGGACCTGACTTCGTCGTTCGTCTTCTCTTCTCGTCGATCATTGCTCCTCGTCAGTCGTCTCTCAATAGTCATCAGTCGTGTCTCGCCCTTCATCGTTAAGGTACACCTCTTCTTCTTCGATCTTTATTCTTCTTCAATTTCCCTCAGTCGCTCTCTCTCTCTCTCTCTCTCTCTCTCTCTCTCTCTCAGCCTCTGTCTTATTTCTTCAGTCGATCTTCGCCCTTCTTTTATTCCCTTCTTTTATTCTGATTTTATTTTTTTCTTTTATTCTGATTTTAATTTAATTTTTTCTTTTCTTTTATTCTGATTTATTTTATTTTTTCTTTTCTTTTATTTTTCTTTTATATTCTGATTTTATTTTTTCTTTTCTATTATTTGAGTATATAATTTTAATAATGTATGTTTATATATGATGTTAAATCAATTAAATGTTTTTTTTAATAATTTTAATAGTGTTATTTTGTATAGTTTATTACCTTTTAATGATTTTTTTTATAATTTTATGACATATAATAAATAAAATTAATTATATATATTGAACGTGTCCCCAGCGTGTCGTGTCCCTCATTTTTTGAAAATTTATGTTTTTGCGTGTCCGTGTCCGTGTCGCGTGTCCGTGTCCGTGCTTCATAGCAGTAACCATTATAGGTACATCAACAAACAAAATCCAAAACAACATTCATAATAGAGAAGAACATTTACAGCACCGTCAGAGCTATCTGCTTTCGTAAAATATCATTTGACTTAAACATCACGGCAGCAATCCAAATTATGACAAAAAAACCTGCACCCTTGGAACATTTCAATTGTCAATGACTTTAAATATGGTTACAAGAAATGAAAATCAACAAGAAGTTAAAGCCTCAATGGCCACAACAAAGAACCTGCTCAACTAAAAATTCTAAAACGCATAACTTCAGGTGAGCCCGAAACTAAAGAGATATATCAACAAAAGAATAACAAGATTGTCCACATGTAACCTCCCCTCCAAAGTTGAGCCATGCCGGCCAAGACAAGCAAAAAGATTCAAACTATTGATGGTTCCTAGGAAGAGTTACTGTTCTGGGAATCCGAAATAGGCAATCATGTATTTTGTTAGAGGATTAAATAACTTGGTGTAGGAATATTAAATGACTGCTTAGGGAAAGTAAATGAGAGTTAAAGGGCATTAAAGTATAAAAGGGGTAGTACCTTTAGCATATTGTAATAAGAATTTCAAAATTGTTGCATTTATCTCTTGACATTTGAATTACAAACTTTCAAAACTTTTTCCAGATTTTTGTTTAGAAATCTAGATTCCACAGTGATCGGAGAACTAGCAATCATTACTTGCAAATTGCAACCAAAAGTGTACTTTTCTCTATTTTGATCGCTTCAAAAATAGCACCATCATCTTGGGTGCCGCCAGCACTAAAGGAAGGTCCACCTAAGCATATGCCTAAAAAAAAAGAAAGAAAGATAGGCAGGCAAAGACATATGCTTAGGTGGACCTTGCCTTAGTGTTGGCGGCACCCAATATGATGGTGCTATTTTTGAAGCGATCAAAATAGAGAAAACTACACTTTTGGTTACAACTTGCAAGTAATGATTGCTAGATCTCCGATCACTGTGGAATCTAGATTTCTAAACAAAAATCTGGAAAATTTTTTGACAGTTTGTAATTCAAATGTCATGAGATAAATTCAACAATTTTGAAATTCTTATTACAATATGCTAAAGGTACTACCCTTTAACTCTCATTTACTTTCCCTAAGCAGTCATTTAGTATACTACATAAATATATATATATATAAACATATATATACGTACACATATACACTTAGATCTGGAACTGAAATTCCTCGATCTAGTTAAGAGAGAGAGAGAGAGATCGAACCTTCATTTTCTTTCCCATTTGTGGAATCATTCAGAATCAGCAAAAAAAGTACAAAAACTAATATAGATACTACATAAAGGAAGCATTTGATACGACATACAACCATGAGGAAGGATATCAGTTCCCACTTACCATAATTCTTTTGTTTAGGTGACAAAGAGGAACTTCAAGTTTGCCTCTGTGAGCAGCAGTCATCGACGTCGTGTGTGAGAGAGAGAGAGAGAACAGCGGCGGTGAGAGTAAGAGTGAGAACAGCGGTAAGGACCTCTCTCTTCTTTCAACCAAACCCTAAACATAAACATCTATATAAATAGGGGGTAATCATGTAATTTTACATCGGGGCGGGGACCGGGGCTCGAAAATCATCGGGGATTGGAAGTGAGATCATGGAGTGGTTAGAATCTAATTCTCAAGCCTATTGTCAGCAGTTATTAATGACCATATATCTAACTAACCTAATATTAAATGGCAAAATTAACAAAGGTCGAGATGTACAACTAGAAGGTCTGCCTAGATAAAGCCAGAGACAATTTTCTCATTAATAAAACCCTAGGTAAAGGAAGGGAAGCTTTAAAGTTGAAAACTGAATGATATCAACCAAGCACTGCCCTGATTCTGGCAATATGAAGTACATCTACATTTTTGTACAAAGGTGACCAATACTTCCAACACACAGCTCTGTAATATGCCACAAAAACTAAAAACTGAACAGAGCAAAACGAATACAACAAACAGGCACCATTCTTATCATGTAAAAGCATTCCCTGTGTCATGTTTCTCATCTTTCAGTCCGTCACCATTCTTAGCATGTAAAGTCATACCCCGTGTCAAACTCATGTTTCCCATTTCTCCATCCATCACAGTTGGCACAGAACTCAAATTTTTTATGTAACAACATTGCAAAACATCCAAACCATCATTGAAGCTCTTTGATATGAGAATATAATACATTTAATGCATTGCAAGGCCACAAAACATTTATTGGAAAGCTTTCATTTACGGCAACTGGACAGTGCGGTACATATATTGTTGGACCTCAAAGCAAAGGGCCCAATTACATACACAACTCTTTTTAATACAGCAAATGACACTAACTTCCAGCGGTGGCCCAAGAAGTGGGCTGGGCCGGATTTGGTCATATTTTACCTGTGATGTTGACATGATAAGGAGATGGCTGCTTTGAGCAAGGGTTTTAAGCTTCAAAGCAGAAAAATCTCCCGGGACAAGACAGTACTTGATGTTTTCAGAATAACTGGAAAAACAGACTAGTCGATCCATCACCGAATGATCTGAGATCTGCAGGTTTCACCAAAGCTCTGCACAGTGGGCATGTTCTTTCCCTCTCGAACCTGGAAACACAGGACTCTTTTTTATCCCATACAGAAATTGGAAGTTGAAAATTCATGTTTTGATAGATTCAGTGCAGCCGTTAATGGCACTCTGAAATCACAATCAAATTCCATCTATTTAATAGAACTTTACTTTGAACGAACATAATACACCACAAGGTGATAATGACAGTATTATTGTAATTCAACATAAAAATGATACCAAATAGCCTATGGTCATTGCTGCAATTAAATCACTAGAATAAATCAATGCCCGTGAACAATTTATCTCTAATGGCACTCTGTTTTGTACATGTTGATTATCAAGCTATGTCACCTGCGTGTATGTAAGACCAGAGGTGAGAATTTCTGATGCTGTAATGAAACTAAGTTTCGTATTCAATCCGTTTCATAGCATTTTTTTTTTCCTTTTAGGAACCTTTAAAGCCAGATAGCATTCAATTACTAGTAACAGACACCCCATACACATTGAGCAAACTCTCTCAACTCTAGCACATACAACAGAGGCCAACTACGATGCCTAGGCATTCAACTTCCACACATTTCGGCTGTGCTTGAATTGAATATTTGAGGAGGGATTTGTGAAGGGAAAGGAAAAGAAAAGGGAAAAGATTTTCAATCATTTTTCCCTTCCTTTTTCCTTTTTCCCTTCCTTTTTCCTTTCCATGGCAAATCCGCCTCCTCGAATCCTTGATCCAAGCACACCCTTAATGCTACACTGAGAAATTCTTCATCATACATTTTCTGGTGATAGACTTCGAGCACATTTATTAGAGCCCCAAAATACTATATTATTGTTAGGCTTCCAATTTTCAAGTCCAAGAGGAATTGGGCGACTAGTTAAGCAATCCACCAAACAGGTTCTCTACCTTCTTGCTTCTTGTTTGGAAAGGTGGATATTTTACTGTATTTTATCAAAAGAACACAAAATGCTATAAATGGAAAGCAATCAAAGAGCACAACCACCAAAAATTCATTAAATAATAACAATTTGAAGTATATGAATGCTCTGTTGAACAAAATACATCGAGGCACACAAAAAACAAGCTGAACAGACGACAGAAAACTAACCATTCCGATACACAGTCTTCACAAAATATGTGTTTACAACGTAACAGGATAGGAGCATGCATCTTTTCCTGGCAGATAGCACACAAATCACCCGCTGCACTGACCTGCATTAGATCGCATCGAGGTGAATAAGTTAATAACTTTCCCTTAAATAGTAAATATTCTGGAAGAATCCACTCAAACCAATTATTAGCAAGCACGAGGTCAAAACAATACAAAGCAAATAAAAAAGGCATCATAAATGGAGAGCACATAGTGAGGAGTTGTTATTCACATTTTTTTCTCAAACACATCACTGTGAACAAAGACTATCATCAATTACCAATGGAACGAATCCAAACATCTTCATTAATTGAATTCATCGAAAAATGAAGTTTGACAAATATCCATGTCAGACACCTGACATTTGGACAAAGGTGTGGGATATGTGTCCATCCGATACTTCACATGATAAATTAAAAATATAAAATATAAATTAAATTTTTTTTTCAAGTCCACATACCCTTTAAATTTGAGGTTTGATGGGTCTGATCTCTACGTATGCACCCATACCTGACACCTATGATGCACGAACAAGGACACGGACATGGGAAAACGCAAATTTTCAAAAAATAGGGGACACGACGCGCTAGGGACATGTTCAATATATATAATTTTATTTGTTTATTATATGTACAATTAAAAAATATAAATATTATTTATTTATTTTAATATCAAATATTATTCACAAATTAAAATTTTTCTATAAATAAAAATAATTTATTTAAGAAAATAATAATATCTAAAAAATAGAAAAAAAAGAAAAAAAGGAAAAAAAAGATTTTTTTTGTTCAAATATATATCTATATTAGTATATAAATATATATGTGTATATATTAGTAAATAATAAATATCTATGTATATTATCAGAAAAAGAAAATAGAAAAAAAATCGAAGAGAAAGAGAGAGAGGGATCAACATCACTCAGTATATAAAAGGAAAAGAAGAAGGAGAGAGAGAGTGACTGAGGGAGAGAGAGATCGGAGAAGAAGGACGAACAAAAAGTAGATCGAAGAACGAAGAAGAGCAGCGTACCTTAAAGAGGGACGACGAGACGAGCTACGACGAGCGACGATCGACGAGAACCGTCGACAAGTGACGAGCGACAACGAGCGATGAGCTACAGGCGACGAGCAACGAGCTATGAGCTACGAGCTACGATGAGCGACCACTGAAAAGTGACCAAGTCCTTTCTTTCTCTCCCGTTCTCTTCTGTTCTAATCGAATAAGGCAGACATTGCTCTATTTTTGCTTTTTTACAAATCGACCCCAAATGTTTTTTTGTAAATTATGAAATTACCTCCGAACGTGTCCCAAAGTGTCCAAACGTGTCCAGAACGTGTCCGGATGTAAAAAAATTATAAAAAAAGGGGACACTCTCTGCTATGTGTCGGACACATGTCCGTGTCCGACACTGGCGCGGAGCCCTCGGAGAGGTGTCCGTGCTTCATAGCCTGACACCCATACCCAACTTCCAAGTCTATGTAACATGTAGAAGACCATAAAGTATATCAAGTAGCGGGGAAGAAATGAAGGACTGAATGTGCTGGTATGATATGTGATCAAAGTGTATCATATAAAAGAGGAGACTCTTTTAAGATAGAAGAGAGTAACTAAGTAGAGGATGTTAAGACAGATGTGTAAATGAGACAAGAATGTAAAGCACCAACCAATGACAAGGAACTAGTCACATAAAAAGTGAAAGTAATCCACATCACCAACAGGGAACGTGGTCATTCAACACAGTCTCGACAAAAACAAGGCTAAGAAGAGTGGGTTGGAGTTGTGAGAACAGACCCTATCAGTCGTGATTCATGAGTAATGTAGAAGCCTTCATTAACAAAAGATTCATTAGCGATATTTTAGTCACACTGTATACAACTCAGTGGCATGAAATTTTGGTTCGAAGGGGCTGGTTAGAGACAAACCAAACTATATTTCAAACCCTAGTGAGCGGTAGCAGGTAGTCAACCGTACCCCCACTTTTTGACAGAATGGCTAATTCTCATGAGTCAAACCACACACAAAATTTAGAAGCAGAATAAATTGTTTTGTTCAATCGCTTAAACACGCGTCTATCAATTAGATACATGTGAAACTAATTATAAGTTTGAACAAAACAATTTAGGATACAATAATAACACAAAATCCATATAAATTTATAGGAATTAGTGTCATATTGCATTTTTTATTAACTTTGAATGATATATTGATATTTATAACATATAATAAATATATAAAATTATATATTTCATGCGTGTCTCCCAGGTGTCGTGTCCTACATTTTTTAAGAATTAACGTGTCGGCGTGTCCGTGTCGTATCCGTGTCGTGTCGTATCCGTGTCGTGTTCGTGCTTCTTATACCTAACACCCATACCCAACTTCCAAGTCCACGTAACATGTAGTAGACCATCATGGATCAAGTAGAGAGGAAGAAATGAACGACTGGATGTGCTGGTATGACATGTGATCAAAGTGAGACAAATAAAGAGGAGACTCTTTTAAGATAGAAGAGTAACTAAGAAGCGGATGTTATGGAAGATGAGTAAATGAGACAAAAATGTAAAGCACCAACCAATGACAAGGAACTAGTCACATAAAAAGTGAAAATAATCCACATCACCAACAGGGAATTTGCTCATTTAACACACAGTCTCTACAAAAACAAGGCTAAGAAGAATGGGTTGGAGTTGTGAGAACAGACCCTATCAGTCGTGATTCGTGAGTAATGTAGAT